GTACACAGGAACTTTTATCTAGAACCCTCCTGACTCTCTCAGGTGCCAATGGAGTAGAAGAGAGGATGCTGGTTTATAACAGTCCCTGCCTCCGAGGTGCGAAGATCGGACTGGGGATGAACTATTATCAAAGACAACCTGGAAGCTAGGGAAAGATAATACGGGGTTGGGTTTTAGTCTTTGACTCAGTCACAGGGCAGGGTGTCAGGCAGGCATCTCCCCCATGCCTGCTGAGGGACTGGATCATAGGCGGAGGACTCCGTGTCTCCCAGAAGCTGTAAGACATCAGATACGGCACTTGTATACTTCCTCCTCTTTCCTCGAGGAGCCCCCTGGATCACAGGCTCTGTTGTTCTACCTGCGCTCTACTATATGAATTCCGCCATCGCTAACAGATCTCAGGTTTCTGAGCATGTGCCATGTCCTCGCAGGACTTTACATATATCAACTTGCTCTTTTTTTTCCCCCTGAGACACGGTCTCATCTCATTGTGTAGCTCTGGTTGTTCTGAAACTTACTCTGTAGACCAAACTGGCATTGAACTCCCAGAGATCCACCTGCCTCTGCCTCCCGAGTGCTGGGATTATTAGCTTGTCTTTTCTGCACGAAGATCACAGGGTGACTTGATTATCTGCTCATTTTACAAGCGAGAAAATGGAGGCCCCAAGGCGGTGAGACCTATAGAGCCAGGAATAAACTTTGGCCGTGTGGTACCAGAATCCATTTTTCAGGCTTTCTGGATTTGAATCGCCATACTGCACACACCTGCCTAAGATCTACCACATCACTAGAACTCTAGCTCTGGCCTGTCCAGACTGATCATGCTGTGCACTCTTGGCTTCTTCCAGCCTCCCTAGTCCCTCTGGTGCACAGGAGGGAATGCTGACCACTGCTCCTGTTTTCCCACTTTTATGGACAGACAGCAGGCTGTCTGGGAGACTCTAAAGGCTCTCTTTCTCCACCCCCTCCACCATCCTGTCTAACAAGGGGCTGCTCCGCACTTGCTGTTTGAAATGTGTGGGAGGGAGCAGGAGCTATAAGCTTGCTGGAGTCAAACAACTTTCACCCTCCCTCCCCCACTCCAGCAAAAGAGACAGTCTTTCAGAAGCACCTAGTGGGCATCACCAAGTGAAAACCCGAAGTTGCATCAGTCATGGTGAGGAAGAAAGGACGCCACTTTCCCACTTGCCATATATGGCATGTGAGTTTCAGCCAGGAACAGCCTTGCTTCCTGTTGGACACAACCCTGAACAGCCCAGAGCGGCACAATGATAGGAAAACGCTGAGCAGACAACAATAAACCAAAGAATAAACAGTGCCTAGGCTTTTCTTCAAACCAGCATATGTGGCTGGGTGGGTTGTAGTGTTTTATTGATATTGCTATGCAACAGAGGGGAAGCACAAACAAAGGTGATTTCAGCACTGCCAGGGCTGTACCCGGTGCTGTGACTGTAGCCCCTAAAGTTAGACCTGATAAAGGCAGGGCGGACACCAACGGTCACATCAGAAGTTAATGTAGTCGGGCCAGGGACCGGGCTTTAACTTTGGGTTTTAAAGCATCCATCACTCAGTGTGAGTGCAGCTGAGTTCCCTGGACCAGGGAGCTTTGTGCTGGTTCTGAAAGGCCTGGCTGAATGTTTAGTAGTCTAGAATCACAGCTGAGGGGAACGTGAAGTCAGCAGCCTGGATGAGGCTCCAAAGGGATCTGTGAATCCCAGACCACAAAGCACATTCTATGGCTTCCCTGCCTGCCTCCTGGTCAGCTTCCAACAGGACAGGAAGCATTGTCACCGGAGAGGGGGAAGGGAAGCGGGGACCCCATCCCTCGAAAGTTGGGTGGAGATGCTCAAGTCACAGCTGAAGTTTTCCTTCCAGGGAAAGCTCCACAGTCAAGAAAGAAACTTTAGAAGCCAGGGCAGAGCTTCTGTGGAATCAGGTTCCCTTAGTGACAGGAAGTTAGGTGTGTGAATAATTTATCCCATGCAATCGACTTCCCCACGTTGTTAGCTGTTTCAGTGTGTCCCTTTCACTTTACCAAGAAGGCTTCCTGCACCTGCTGCTCACTCACGGCCTGGCCTCTCCCTGGGAGCTGCTGGGCCCTCCTAACTCTCTCCTGGACCCAGTTTGTGAGAGCAAAGTTTGACATCTACACAGCAAACAGGTAGAGAGAGAGGCCAGCTCTCCGATAAAGTTGCCAATTGATGTCTAAAAGTCAGGAAGGCCGTTCACATGCAGGTGTCTAACCTGAAGCTTCATTAATTCACTCTGTAGAGAGTCAGCGCCTCCTATGTGCTGGGCACCATTCTGGGTGCTGAGGGGAATGGCTCTGAAAACAACAGGGAAAAGAGTTCTCTGTTCTCAGGGAGTAGAAAACTTTGTGGGGAGAATACCCAAGTATGAGTTAAGAGGGTAATGTATAGCGACCCACCAAAGCAGTCACGTGCCAGCACTTGGCACACATACATAGAGTTTGCCAACAGTAAGGCGTCAGGAGGAAGACAGTTACTATTTATTGGAGGCTTCCTGTGTGCTAGGCAGTTAGGAATAAAAATAAGAAATCACTTTAAGCCCCTACTCTGTAGGACTGCCATAGGAAGGTGGGATCAGGGACTTCACACATTTTCTTTCTGCCACAGTCTGTCCCTCCGATTGTACAGACAAGCAAATTCATCCTGGAAGCGGGACTAGCTTGCTCAGGCACACCCCTTCTGTCTGAGCATGCATGCGATGCTTTGGATCTCTGCACTCAGGCCCCACGACTTTGTCACTCAGAGGTCTCACAATTCTTTGTTCTGTGCCTCAGCTGGTGGCTTGCCTTGGCCCACCCCCATCTTCCCAGCTCTTCAGGGGTTGAACGCCAATGTCTCCCAGGAGAAGTTTTTAGGTTTCTCATTGATACTGGGGTCCCTTCTCTGAACTCTGTACTTAGATCGCATATACGAAGAGCCACAGACTCTCAGACCTCACTGGACTCTTGTTCTTCTTCCTTGATGTGTTTATGGCCAGTGGTGGGAGACGTGCCACCTGGTCACGCTCTGCCTCACTTTATTCTTTGCCAGCATGCACCGCTTTCACCAGCTCAGCTCAAGTAGCATCTCTGAGAACAGTGCTTTAAGCTATAGACACCATCTATCTAGCAACTGTTTACAGTGGTTCTGAACTGTGTCTGTGGGGGTAGGGTTACCTGGGTGGTCTTTTAGGATAGCTTGCTGGGCCCTGCTCCCCCACCTCGCCACCTTGTCTGATTCAGTAAGTCTGGCTTGAGGTGAGAATGTCCATTTCTGAAAACTTCCAAGGGGACACTGATGCTGTTGACCCAGGAGCCATACTCTGGGGACTGCAGCTTTAACGGGATCCCCCACAGGGTTAAGAGGGAGAAGGCAGCTTCAGAGTTCTGTCTTTGCCATTCAATAGCTGTGTGACCTATTTGAGTCTCTGTGTCTTCACATCTTAAAATGGGGGTGAGCTGCTTGCACACGAGCACTGTAGTGAGAAAGGGGTACAAAGACAGATGTAGGGTGCCTAGCACTGTCCCTGACCCACTGCAAATGCTCCATACATCTGGGGAAGCTGGCACAAGTGAGCATTAAACCTAGCCTGAGATTTCGCTCCCGGGCTCACACGGAGCTCCGAATCTTTACCAGTGAGAAGGAAGGGTGTCAGCGTGGCACGGTCTCTATAATTAACAGCTTTTGAAATTAAGCCAGACTTCTAAAAAAAAAAAAAAAAACAACACAAGAGTACTCGAAAATACTTCTTCCTGGAGTGTGACATATGCAAATGCCCAGGTGTACAAAAGCTATGTGTATTTTTAAAATTCAGGCGAAGCCCCCAGGTACCTCCTCCAAACTCTCCATTGCTGACCCGTGTTGGTCTTGACCACGTGGTCTCTGAAGAGCTTGGAGCTGCTGGTGTCACCCAGGCTAATGGGTTGGAGCCCACCTTTCAATAATTAATTACTTATTGTCCAGACAACCTCCTCAGAGCACAGGGGATCACCATGGCTTCCAGCCCAGTAATTTCAAAGCATCGCTGCTCCTGCTGTTACCCACTTCCCCCAAAACAGGACTCACGGCTCCCCTCAGGGTCTATCTGAGCAGCTACACTGGCTAGCGTTCTATTAAGGGAAGGCCAGTAGGGACTGTGCAGAAAGGACCTCTGACGATTCTCCAGGGCCTGGGAGAGAGTATTCCAGGGATGGTCCACCCCTAACCATGCCCGGCTAACACGGGAGACTGGAGCCAGGACCCTTTCTCTGTCTGTCTCTCTGCATCTCTAACTGGGGAATGTTGCCAGATCTACGCCACCCTGCAAAGTTGAATGAGCTCATTTCAGGAGTACTGGTTGTAGGCAGGGAGCCTGGGGGATGCTGCTGCCCTTCCCAAGCCCCTCCATTCTCCAGCCCCTCATAGAACAGCACCCACCACTGTATCCAGCAATACTCCCCCCCTCCCCCATGCCCAAGAAAAGGACGATCATCCCCCACTCCCTTAATTTTCGCTACTGTCCGTATTTTCCCAACAAACCACCAGAGCCAGGCGGTGTGTCCGCACACTCTTGGGATGGGGCGCCACCCCAGGCAGCCGCAGGGTAGGGATTTCCCTCCCGGTACCCTGACCTGGCAGCCGGGCTCCCCCACCCCCACCCCGAGCCGGCAGCGCGCGAAGGGGGTGTGTGTGCCTAGCGGGCTGCAGGAAGCGCCTGCCACCAGGGCCCCAGCCCTCGGGATGAAGGGGCCCGCTGGGTCCCCGCACCTGGCGCCACCCGCCGGGCGATGCCACCGAGGATGATGGCTCCTCTCGGGGAAGCACTGCACCGTGTCTTCTCACCGGCTCTGGTGGCTCAAGCTTCTCTCTGCCCTTTCCCCCTCCATCCGTCCCCTCCCTCTTTGTCTCCTTAGCGCCTCTGGAACACCCTGCCTTCCCCCAGGGCCCAACTCTATTGCGGTCACCTCCCTGGGGACCCCGGCCCCCTAGCTGGCCCGCCGGTTCGGGTCTCACCCAGAACAGCAGGTTGAAGCCGAGCAGCAGATACTTGATGCACCGCAGACCCCCGCGAAAGCGCCCCATACTGCGACCCCGGCAGCGGGCTCCCGATTCCCCAGGCCCGCGCCGAGCCCCGGGAGCGGCGGGCGCCGGCGGGAGGGGCGGGGCGGGTTGGAAGGGGCGTGACCTGTGGGCGTGGCTTGCGGGCGGGGGACCCGGGACGCGAGCGGCCAGTTGGCCTGGAATGGGGAGTCCTAGGGTGGAGATCTGGGTCCCGCGCACCCGCTCTGGCCTCCCGGAGGTGGACCACCTTTCTTTGCGCGGAAGGGCGCGGGCTCCTGTAGCTATCCGAGTATCTGTGCGAGAGCAGCGCCCACCCGTGAAGCGGGGTCCATTTAGTCAGCGCCGGGTGCCCAGACACCTTTGAGGCCCGCGGTCATGGTTGAAGTTATTCTCGGTGGCTATGAAAACATAAGAAGGTGACTTCAGGTGGTAAAGCTAAGTAGGACCTGAAGCTGGTAGACCCAGTTGCGAGGCGCCAGGCAGAGGATCCAGGGCTGCGGTTAAACAGAGTCCTCCAAGCGCGGAGTCCGCTGCTGGGTACCCTCCTTCCCGTCGCTGCGTTCCTAGAGGACTCTTACCTTAATAGGCAAGAACTGGGAGAAGGCGCACCAGGGGCCGCCCTGAGTCCTGACACTGCTCCTCACTCGGCCCAGCCCAGCCGGCCAGGCCAGCAAGGGGGAGTCAGACTTCCCACATCCTACCGGGTTTGGCAGACCTTGATAGCACTCCAAATTCTCGGGGTCTAGATTGAGATGTGTAGATGGGGGTGGGGCGGGTTCTGTTTTGCTTTGTTGTTATTAAGTTAGGTTACTGGTGAGAAGGCGGCACCCGCTCCAGTTGACTAAGTGTCGTGTGTCTACAATATGTGGTGTCAGACGGCACGGGGGAGACAGGAAAGTGTAGAATCAGGGAGCTGGTGCATTAATTTAGCAACACTCGAAGTGCCAATTATAGGCCAGGCATAGTAGCAAGCCCCAGGGACAACAGAAGAAGCCAGGCACGATCTGTCAGCAAATTATCTGAGCATGGTGGGTGCCTTAGGTGCTGGGTGAGAGCCTGGTGTCTGCCTTGACTAAGGAAGGCTTTCCTAGGAAGAGTGGGCCTGTAAAAAGAGTCCCAGCAGAGAGAGAGAGAAGGAGGTGGGGGAGGGAGGGGTAGGTGGGAGACAGAAGGAGGAAGCACAGCCTAGCTCAGGAGCAGGAGTCAGAGAGATAACCAAAGTAAGGGGAAGCGGGAGGGCACCAGAGCAAACCGCAGTGGGCAGGTGGTCGACTGATGTGCTACGCACCAAAGTAAGGGGAAGCGGGAGGGCACCAGAGCAAACCGCAGTGGGCAGGTGGTCGACTGATGTGCTACGCTGTCCCGCTGTCCCGTGTTCCTTGTGCCTCTCTTTCCCATCTCCATACGGAGATTACAGTACCTGCTTTAAAAGAGCTGTGACGCTCAAGGAGTGAATATATGTAAAGCGCCCAGATCAGTGAGGGGCGTGGAGTATGATGTAAGAGGTAGCCAGGACCTCACGACCAAGTCAGTCTCCACCTTGTTACCCCCTCAGCCTATATCAAAGCTCCATCTTTGAATAGCTAGTGAATTTTGTTTATGAAAATGAGAAGAAAAATGAAAGTGCTGATTCTGGTAGTCACAGTGAACTGGAGACAAAGATAGAAGCCATTAGTATGCAGAGGGGAAGCCTCAGTTTCAGTCACACAGTCTCTATCTGTCACCTCTGTTTGGCTCTGAAAGAGGAACGAAATTAGTGAGTAGTCCCTGCTACCCAGGAGGCATCCAGCAAATCAACAGGGGGCAGTGATGGTATACTGTCGTGTTGTATCATATTGTTGATTTTTATGTCTGTAATATTTAGAGATTATATATTCTGTCATTTCTGGGAACAGAGCTTCTATTATGCTGTAAGCCTCCTGCGTTGGTTAGAAACGTTTCATCACGTGCCCCCTGTAACACTCTTAGATCTGCAGTATACACTCAACCCGTATCTTAGCGACTTTTCCTGTTATTGTGACAGAATAGCCCGACAAAAGCAAAGGAAGAAGAGAAAGAGAGAGAGAGAGAGAGAGAGAGCTCATGTTAAGTCATAGTCCAGGGATGCGGCCCATCACGGTGGAAGTCACGGTGGCAGGAATTTGAGGCACGTTGTCTACACCGTATTCACAGTCAAGAAACGGAGAGTTGTGAGTGCTTGGGCTTACCCCAGGCTCTCAAGCTGGGGAATGGTGCTACCCACAGTGGGTGTCCTTCTCATCCAATCAAGCTGCTCCCTCTCAAGCTTGTCTAGAGACATGTCTCCAGGTGATTCTAGGGCTCATCAAACTTTTGAGTGAGATTAATCCTAGCAGTTCCCTTCACAAAGTTAGGTCTTGGGCTGGAGAGATGGCTCAGCGGTTAAGAGCATTGCGTGCTCTTCCAAAGGACTGGAGTTCGATTCCCAGCAACCACATGGTGGTTCACAACCATCTGTAATGAGGTCTGGTGTCCTCTTCTAGTCTGCAGGCATATATGCAAACAGAATATCCATAATAAATAAATATAAAAAAACAAAGTTAGGTCTTAGCCTGCTTGGCAGGACTAGCTTCAGATAAGGGAGCCAGCTCTCCTCTCCCTAAGGCAAACCCATTTCCCTTGTAGCTCAGAAAATAAACTGGCAGGCATTATTGCTAACGGGAAGGAGGGGAGTGGTGGCTCCCGAGAACCAGTTGGTCTCTCTTCTCATGGTTCCTGCATGTGGATCTTTTACTTGAAGTTGCTGTGTCCTTCTTGATGCCGGGCTGGGGACAGATCCAACACTAAAGACAACAAAGCAGAACACTGAAAAAAAATCTAGATTGTAGGTGACATTTCTCTATCATCCAGTCAACCAATTCTAAAGTCACTTTTAAGTCTACTTTTACTTTTTTAAAATCTCCCTCCTTCCCTCCCCCTCACTCTGTGTGTATGTGTGTCTGTGTGTATGTATATATGTATGTGCAGGTATCCTCAGAGGCCAGAAGAGAGTCATAGCCCCTAAAACTGGAGTTACAGGTGGTCGTGAGTCACCTGACATGGGTGCCAGGAACAGAATTCAGGTCCTGTGGATATGCATGCAGCAAGCACTTTTAACCTCTAGCCATTTCTCCAGCTCTACTCTGGATTTTAGTACTGTGTGTGGACCACGTGTCTTTGCGGTTGAGAGCATCCTAGCTAGTGACACATTTCAAGATGCATTATTATATCCCAGTAAAGGGTTACTTTAAGTGTCAACACAAAAACATTAGCCTTTAAACTAATCACCAGAGCCATCATCTCTGTCTTCTCTTGAACCCAGACACGGTGCCTGACCATGGTGCTCTAACATACTGGGACTATGAAGGATGGTCAAGAGAACTGCAGACTTGCCTACTGGGACCCTATCAGACTGTGTGATCAGCCACACCACATCCCCACTTCCATCTTTCTTGCTAGGTAAGAAAAATCCCTGCTTGTGTTGAACTCTGTGTCTGTTACTGGGAGCTGAGGTGGTCCCACCCGATAGAGGGAAGACAATAAATTTAGTTTTGAATCTGCGGACTTTTGGATCTGGTGGGAACTACGATTAAGATACTGGAGGGAGGTTTGTGCCGGACGGCTAAGGTGACAGTTCACCAACCAACAGTTTTAACTTTTCTCAGACATGTGCTAAAAATAATTATGAAAAATATTTCCTTTTGCCCGTTCCCTGCAATATTTTATTATGAGTATTTTCAGATGTACAGCAAAGTCAAAGTATTGGGCGGCAAACACCATATCATCACTGCCTAGATTCCCCAGCAAATATCCTGCTTTGGCATTACTATCTGTACAGCCGTCTCCTTGGTAACCCCTTACTCGTTCTGCATTCCAAGTGTTTCCCCCCAAACTCTAGCATAGATGACATTAGTGTCCAAACATTTGCTTATGTTTTGTTTTTTTTCCCCTAATAAAATTAACCTCCACAAAGTGTTTAGACGTTAGGTATACCATTTGATAGCTCTCAGAAAATATCCAAACCCTTTCAGGGCACCGAGCATTGCCACCGACAAGGAAGTTCCGTGTGCTTCTTCCCAGGACACCTGTGCCCACATCTTTGGGAGGCAGCCTTGCTATGGTTTGCTTTCTTTGTCTGTTCTAGATTTGCACATAAGTGACATTGTGTAGTACTTAGTCTCACACTTTTAAATTGACACCTAAACTTATTTCCTGTAAGTTTGGGTATTTTTAAAGGATGCCATTTCTGGTATACCGTAACCATTCTAAAGGAAATTGTCACGATGCTTATTTCAATACCCGCGCTAGAAACTGCATGCCAATGTGACCTGCCACCCACTGTCCTCCTATTGAAAACACACTAACAAGCTCTTCTTGAACAGGGTGGAATCTTACAGCGTTCCCCTTTCTTCTTGAACACATATTTTCAGGTAAGTCTAAAATAATGCATTTTAATGCTTCAAAGATTTTTCTCGAGTGTCTTTTTATACTTGTCTGGACAAAGACGGTTATATGATGGTCAAAATGAATTAACTTTTCTCTTGAGACCTGTAAGACTCGGAGTGTTAATTAGATTCTTAGCTTTTGAGTTATCCTTCAAATTATTTTTAGAGTGCCGTTGACTAAAATCGCATATGGCTTCAAATGAGCAGACATTAAACATCAAGGTAAGGCAGTACTGGCAATTGCTCTCTTTTGAGATGACACGTTTTTATCTTTGTTGATTCAGCAGTGGGCTTCAACACGGTGTCTTCATACACTCTGTGTCACTATATTGGTTGTCATCCTTTCCCTCCTCCAGTGTCCCCTCTCTGTGTCCCTTCCCTTCCAGACGGTTCCCGTTCTTCTTCTACTGAGTCTCTTTCTACTTTCTTATTAACGTATTCCGTTACCTATTTCCCACTTCCCCTAGATTCTTTGTTCTCATCTTATGAGTGCTTTGCTAGTTTCATGACCTCCCCACACATATACACAAATATATACCTGCATATATGCATACATATACTCTTAAATCTAGGCTCCATATGAGGGAAACCAGAGATTTGTCTTTCTGAATCTAGTTTGTTTTGATTAACACGGTGTTTTTCAGGTGCATCTATTTTTTTGAAAATGTCATGATGTCATTTTTCTCCGTGGCTGTAAAAATTCAAATGATTCGCATGCAGATGAAGTACATTTTCTTTATCCATTCATATGATGATAAACATCTAGGCTGCTTCCTTTTCTTGGCTGTTGGGGGACAGTTCAGTAATAAACATAAACCTCCATATGTCTCTGTGGTATGTTGACCTGCCCAGTTCACATTCCCAACAACCCCCAAAGCGGTCCCCAGCATACCTCTTCACTTGTTGGTGTGTGTTTCCTTGGTGATAGTCATTCTGATTAGGGTTGAGATGGAATCTTAAAACAGGCTTAATTTATATTTCCCCTGTTGGCTAAGGATATTGATCACCTTTCCCATTACTTATTGTATTATATATTGGCCATTTCAAGTTCTTAGTTTTTGCTATCTATTCAGGTCATTGGCCCACTTACTAACTAAATGGCTTGGATTTTTTGTTTAATTTTTGCGGTTCTTTGTGTAGTCTAGTACTCTAGCTACAAATGCCTGGCCCGGTGAACAGAGGTAAACATTTTTCCTACTCTGCAGGTTCTCTCTTCACTGTGGTGACCTTTTCTTTTTTTTGAGCTACATTTAATCCCATTTGCCAGTTATTAGAATTATGAAAATTCTTCCCTTGATGGAATTGGTAGGTTAGGGTTTTCTTCTATTAGTTCATGCATTTATGAATAGACGTTATTTGTTGCTAGTCACAGAGCAGAGCATTCAGCATAAATTCTCTTAGTATTTTCATAGTGGTTTGTTGCTGTTGTTTGAACAAAGTCTTGTTATGTGGCCCAGGTCGACCTTGAACTTGTGACCTGCTGTCTTGGAGTACTAGAATTATAGGTGTGCAGCCCTCTGGGATTCCTTACGCTCCTTCCAAATCAAATGCCTCATCACAGATTTGTCTATTATTTAAAACTCTTATTATATTTTGTTGTTGTTATTCTCCTCTCCCTCCTCCTCCTTCTATTGTTTGAGACAGTCTCCCTACATGGTCCTTACCGGTTTGGGACTCACTACATAGCTCAAACTGGTCTTGAGTTCACATATACTCGCCTCTTTGTCCCAAGCATTGGGATAAAAGGTGTGTACCACCTTGGGCAACAGAAACTATTTTTAATGATCAATCCAATCGTTCAGTCATTCTTTAATCTTATTGAAAGCTTGGGGTTGTCACCCTTTTCCAGGAATATTTATTGTTCGTGTTGTAGTTATTTCTCTCTTAACATCTACCGCATTGTGCGAGTTGGTGGTCCAGGGAGTTTTATACCCTTGGGAAGTGTACTGGCAGTCAGGTTCAGGATGGGCAAGCAACAGCTCCTTAAGGAAGACGACTTCCTCACAGGCACAGAGTCAACCGCCTTTGGGGAGGAATACAGCTGGGAACGGGGGATCTAGACTGAGTCAGCTCTCTCTGAGCCATTAATGCTGCAGTTCCCTTGGGAAAGGTTCCCTCAGCCCGCAGATATACGTTCCCCTAGACAGATGGTCGTTTTGTCCAGGAGAATGGAGGCTGTGCCTGTGAAGATGGTGCCAAGTGACATAAGAACAGCACCCTGAGTGGGCAGAGGAGGCACACCAGTCAGCTTTCTGCCATCACACCAGACGGCTGAGGTCACCAGCTAAGAAAGAGAACTCTTTGTTTTGTCTTACAGTGTTGATATGCCTTGAACAATTGGTCCCACAGCTTTGGGTCCGCAGTGAAGCATGCCTTAGTGAAAGCCCAGAACAGTGAAAAATCTCCGGCTTCACCCAAGGACAAGACAGGAAGGGAGAAAGGAAGAGAGTGGGGGTGCCATTATTCCTTTCCAGGAAGATCTGAAGACCCCTCAGTAAACTCCACCCCACAATAGCATCAAGTGTGGGAACAAGATTTTCCAAGTGGATCTTGGGGGGATGCGATGATTGCTGTCACATCCACTTGACACAACTCGGAGTCACTAGGGAGACAGCTGCTGGGAGGGGTTTCCTGGGCTCCGGGCGGGCCATCAAGGGCTTATCTTACCCAGGTTAATTGTTGGAAGAAAACCCACTTAACCGGGGGGCAGGACCATTTCCTGTGCATGAGTCCTGGATTGTACAAACTGGAGAAAGTGATCTGAGTCCCTGCACTGCTCTTTCCTGGCTGTGGGTGTGACCTGAGAAGCTGCCTCAAGCTCTTGCTTCCATTCCTTATGAGTCCTGTTGTTCTGTACCCTTGAACTCCAAGTCAAAACAAATCCTTTCTCCATTCAGTTGTGTTCGCCGGGGTGTTCTATCCCAGTTACAGGAAGAGAAACCAAGACGGGGATATCTGTATAAACCACAGTGAACACTGGAGGAGCCTGGGACCAAAGAGAAAACTCAGAAGAAAGCAGGGCCCCTGAGCCTGAGTCAGGAGACTTTCTGGAAGGAGGAGGGAGCTCACATTGTACAATGCCTCTGCAATAACTGGTAAGTAACGGTTCATTGGGTTTGGTAACCTGGTGCCTCAGGGCACTGCGGCCTCTCCAGCCTGGGTAAGGGCCTTTTTAGAAGGGCTGGGTGGGGCACAATGGACTGCATGAAGTCACAGTGATTGTACTTTCAAGAAGTTTAGCTGTGGGAGTGGTGGAGCAAGGTGGTGGGAGTCTATTGATGGATTGATTGATTGATTGATTGATTGACTGATTTCCTTCTTGATGTGCAGAGGGAAGATATGCTTATAGACCTTGGGAAAAAGAAGAGAACCAGGAATATGGCCAGTGAGCATCAAGACAGGAGCATGGACACCGCTGGGTCATTCATAGAAATGGGAGGAAATAGGCAAAGGCAGACTGGTGGTGTTGCCTCACTTCCCCAAGTGTAACCCCTGAGCCCCTGGTGATCTGCTTCTGTGACCTGTGGAATTTTCTGCCTATTGTTTTAATGCCTTGTGGACTATATATTGTGTGACTTATTGTTTATTTTTTATTTTTGGTACAACTGTTTGTCTGTTTGTTTAGTGTGTTTGTACCTGTGAAGACACAGCACTATGCATATGCGGGCAGAGGCCAGCTTGCAAGAGTGGGTTCTCTTTTTCCATCATGTGGGTCCTGGTGTTAGATCACTAGGATTGGCACCTGTACTGTCCCTATTGTGTGATTTTTAAAAAATAATTTAAAAACAAGGTAAAGTTGCTCATTTTTCTAGTAAGTTGTGGGACAGTCTTGGGTTTGCAGCTGGAGTTGTGTTTCCCCCAAGAGAATTTTCTTGTCTTTCTGCAGCTCATGTCAAGGCAGTGACATCACCTTCACCCAGACAGCAGAGTCCCTGGAGGGCTGGCTTGTGGTTCAGTTCTCAGGGAAGATTCCCCTCACGCCCACGATCAAACCCAAACACAGGTGTTTCCTCGCCCTGCTTTGCACAGTGCGTTTGTTTCTTACCTTGAGAATGTAGCTTCTGGGATGGGGCAGGTTTGGGTGGGGCATCCTAGCAGACTATTCTAATAGGGTTTCAGGCTTAACCTCACAAACCCCAAGCTGTGGAAACTGTCAACGGAAACTCAGGGCAGAGGGCAGAGGGCAGCTTTGCCGCCAGACTGCTTCCCAAGGTGCCTACTTTCACTTCGTTTTGGCCTTTGTAGATTCTCTTCCTTTTGTGGTGGCTCCACAGTGTGTGTGTGTGTGTGTCCAAGGTGCCTACTTTCACTTCGTTTTGGCCTTTGTAGATTCTCTTCCTTTTGTGGTGGCTCCACAGTGTGTGTGTGTGTGTGTGTATGGTGTGTGTGAAGTGAGTGTGTATGTATATGTGTGTGTGAGGTGTGTGTATGTGTGTGTATGTATATGTGTGTGTGAGGTGTGTGTATGTATATGTGCGTGTG